ATCAACCATTCCTAAAAAGGCTAGGTTAGAGATTGGATGAAAATTATCCAGACGTATTGGGCTTTGATGGAATCAACAACTGAAAGGAAGGAGGTTACCGGTAGAGTAGGGGATGTTGAAAGATGTCCCAACCGGGACTATATAGGTAGGAGGAAGTGTAGGAGATCAAACACTTAGGTCTACATGAGGCTTTTCCAGGAGAAAAGCAGGCAGTCTAGTGAGATTCCTATGAACTGGTGAATCAACAATAAAGAAACCTCTTGACCTAGACCTCAGAGATATTCTGGAATCTTGCACCTGACTTATTGAGGAAGGAACCACCTGCTCATCCTGGATCTATTCATCACTGTATGGACCCATAGAGGCTCTAGTCAACTAGGAGATATATGGATTACACATACATAAATAGGAATGTTTTTTGCTCATTGATTTTGTAAAACCTAAACAGAGTTGCTTCAAATCCTGTCTTGAGCAACACCATCTTTTCATGGGGCCTCGGAAGCAGATCTGTTGCAAGACCTGTTGCCTGGAAAAGCAGGCCACCCCTCCTCGCCCTTAGAGGTTTATTTGAGCCCCGAACCTGCTATCCATTAAACAAGTCTTGAAGAGGCTGGGCTTTTACCCCTGACCCTGGATCGCATCTACGCGGCCTAATGTTGTATTTGTTTATGGTGTATACTGTATATCTGTTCCACCTGTTATTTTATTATTTTGATTATTTTTATTATTTTTATTTGATGTATTGTGGTTTTGTTTTTAATGTGTATGCTGCCCAGAGTCATTGTTGAGTCTGTCTGTCTCTGTCTGTCTCCGTCTCTGTCTCTGCCTCTCTCTGTCTCTGTCTCTCTCTCTCTGTCTCTGTCTCTCTCTCTCTGTGTGTGTGTGTGTGTTTGCTATAGCAGCAGCAGCACTTAGATTTATATACTTCATAACGCTTGTACCGCCCTCTCTAAGCAGTTTACAGAGTCAGCCTATTGCCCCCAACAATCTGGGTCCTCATTTTACTCACCTCGGAAGGATGGAAGGCTGAGTCAACCTTGAACCTGGTGAGATCTGAACTACCAAACTGCAGCTAGCAGTCAGCTGAAGTAGCCTGCACTCTAACCACTGTGCCACCTCGGCTCACATATACAGTATTATAGTCCAGGGTATCAAATCCATGGAGCAATTTTTGGCCAGCTCGCTTCATTTCCGAGGCACATTTTACTTCTGTTCTTTTTTATTGTTGCAAGATAGCAAAAACAAAACAAAACCCATCATTTGTGGCAGAAACATATCTCAAGTAATAACGCCAATCCAGGAAATGGAGAAAGAAACTAAGTAAATGCTGTTGGCCAAACTTCCCAAGAGTCAGCCTTCAACTCAGGAATAGGTTTTGATTTATTCTTATTGCTGGCAAGATGAAAGTTTCAGGCTGTCATAACTAGCCACAACAAAGAGCCTAGATTTTTGATTCCACCCATTTGGATGAGAAAGCTTAATCAAATAATCTTTTGGCACAAATTCATACATGCCAACATGCACACAAAAGATTTGTGTGAAACAATTGTGTATTAAATCTCAATGAAAGGTATCTGTCCATCTTTGAATTTATGTCCCATAAATCCTTGCTAATGTACACAATGATGGACAATCTGTGGGACTGCCTTTCCCTAAGAACATCTATCCATCCTACCAGGTAGACAGGATGAGTACACTCCTTGTCCCTTTCCCAAATATTGTCATCTCTTGGGAACTAGGAAGTGTGCCTTTTTGGTGGCAGCCTCTGCCTTGTGGAACACTCTTCCTCCTGAAGTTCAGCAGATCTCTGCCCTTTTTGCCTTCCATAAAGGCTTGAGAGAGGATTAGATAATGGCACATCTGGAATGGTGCCAGATGTGCCACTTTTGTTGCTTTAATGTTTTGTGTTTAACTAGTTGTGTTTTGTAGTTTTTAAAATGATCTTATATGATTTTTAATTTTTGATTGGGAGCCACCCAGTTGGCTAAATGATGGGTGTCTATATAAATGCTTTAAATAAATGAATGAATAAATGAATGAATAAATGGATGGATGGATGGATGGATGGATGGATGGATGGATGGATGGATGGATGGATGGATGGATGGATGGA